GAGGAGTGTATTATTTGATGAGTCATGTGGGGACTGGGGGCATTATTCCCCCTTTTTTATTTTCTAAAAAATTTTTTCTTTTTGAACTGTTGAAGCTGGACCATAACAGTAGAAGGATTTGTCTACCCTCCTTGGTTAACTATCTAGGTAAATTGGGATTACTACTTAGATTATTTGTAGATGCCCATTAAAAAGGACATATCCTTTGGATATTTCCCAAAAACTTCTGAAAATCACTCAAAGATTGTAAACTATACTGTGTCCAAATAAGTTTTGAAAATTATTTGAAGTCTGTGAGCAGTCTTTCCCAATCTAACCTGTAGAGCTCTCACTAGCTGACAAGGCCTCATTTGCATCTTAAATTTTTCTGTTAAAACATTAACAGACTGGCTGGATGTTCCTTTTGGCTATATTTAAAGCAATCTAGGTAGCTTCTTAACTATTTTTGAAGGGATTTAAGTATCCTTTTAATCATATAAGCAGTTCACACTCACGCATTCACAATCACATTTCATACATACCGGTGTGGCCACACCATACATTCAGAACATACATGCATCTTTCAGTCATCCTTTTTCCCTAGGTCATGATTAGTCTGTTGCAATGAAGCTTCCTTAATTGAAATCTATGTAAAAGAACAACTCCAGCCAATCCTTGAACTAAAAAGGTTAAAAAGTCCTATATGTTTTTATCATTCCTCCATTTGAGCTACAGTCATGGGGTACAGCCGTACCTACTCCTTGTAACTCTGTAGATGCAAGGTAGAGAGGCCAGGCTTTTGGCCAAAAGTTTTTAGAGATGACTCACAAAATAGAACTTAAATGTAAACAAAATTTTCCATTCCATATACCTTTGTCTTTTTCTTTTTCTTTACTTAATACCAGTACCTCTTTACTGTTACCAAATTTTTTTTGAGTCAGGGTTTCTCTGTATTGTTTGAGGCTGTCAGTCCAGCCTGGCCTCGAACTCACAGAGATCTGCCTGCCTCTGCCTCCCAAGTGCTGAGATTAAAGGTGTGTGCCGCCAACGCCCGGTCTCTCTATTTAACACTATGTTGTTTTTTTTTCTCTCACTCCTACTTATATTTTTAAACACACTGTAAACCTTCAGAGGTTTTTCTTCATCCGAGTCTGACTTTACTGTAAATCTTTATGTTTTTCTGACCACGTGTCTTATCTGTTAAAACCGTGGCTGTTTATACTGCAGTTTTTCTAAGATGGCGGGCATAAGCGTGGCTCCAGACTATCTCCTCAGTCTATGCTGACATCCAGCAAAAGCTGCTGGCTTGGAGACATGGTCACTGCCACTGCCAGATGCAGGGGTCATATACAAGTTGGTTTTGGGGCCCTGGGGTGGGGCCCTCTTCCAGTTTCCCTGATTATTATTAGTAGGAAGGAAATTTCCCTCCCAGTCAGTTTTAGAGTAGCAGTTATTGGCCCAATGATATCCCCTTCGACAACGGGGGCATAAACCAGGTCTCTTGAGACCCGTAGTACTATTTTGAGGGCACTCTCTACGGAAGTGTCCCTCCCTGCCGCAGCTGAAACATGTTTTTCTCCTTCCCAGAGTAGGTCTTTCTTTCCCCACTTGGGGCCGAATAGCAGCAGCTAACACTTGGCCCTGGATGAAGTTCCCATCAATGTCCCTACAGATCCGGATATAGTCATTTAGACTTTTATTGCGATAGGGGCGAAGGGCTTCCTTACAATACTTATTTGCGTTTTCAAATGCCATCTGCTTGATGACTGGCATCGCAGGCCCAATGCCCCCAAATATTCTTTCTGCTACCTGACTGAGACGGTCTACGAAGTCTTGAAAAGGTTCGGAAGGTCCTTGAAGGATTTTGGACAGATGATCCCCTCCTTCCTTGGAAGGCAATGCTTTCCAAGCCCCTTGGGCCGCTGCTGCCACTTGGGCATAGACTGCGATGTCATATTGCATTTGTTGCTGAATGGTGGCGTATTGACCACTCCCGGTAAGCATCTCCACATTTCTCTGGGGCTGTCCAGCCTGTGCATTCCTTTGGGCTGTCTGGCTGCATCTTTCCTGAAACTCACCTCTCCAAATCAAATAATCTCCCCCCGACAGAGCTGCTCTGCAAAGCTGCTGCCAATCGCCAGGTGTCAAATTAAGAGACGCAAAAGATTCCATTAAGGAAAGTGTAAAGGGAGCCTGTGCTCCATAATTTAAAGTTGCCTCTTTCAGTTGTTTTATATCTTTGAAACTTAAAGGGTCATGGCGCCGAATGACCTGTCGAGAATTGTTCGGATCTGGAACTTCCATTACTGGGGCCACCACCGGGCAGCATTGGACCCCTCCTCTGGGTCTTCCCTCCAGGTCTGAGAAGGACTGGGTTATCTCATAGGAGGAGTCCCTTTTTTCAGAGTATGGGGAAGGGTTTCTCTCCCTGTCCTGTCTTTCCTTAATTAGAATCTTTTTAGTTCTTTTTTAAGGGCTGCGATCTCAGCAAGTAACCGTTCCTTTTCAGACTGTGACGAGTCTGAGTCTGAGCTACTTCCATTTTCTAGGTCTGATAGAGAAGGATATAACCGATTCTGACCGGAGTCCTTCTTTTTGGGTCGCGCCCGGAGATGTCTACCCGTTTTTTTGTTGTTACTAAGAGACTCCTCCTCATCCTCACTAACAATGGAGCCTCTAGTTTCAATCACGGTCTCTTCATCATCACTCTCTGCCCCTGAACTCAAGGAGGCTTGAGTCTCAGTCTCTTGTAACTCTAAAAAAGCCTCTTTTGTGTCCTGAACTACCTGGTGGTGACGAACCTTATCTGTCAAAAGTGCTCCCCTCACTAATCTCCATAAGGAGAATGTCGTAGGGGGCAAGGACTCAGATCCCTCTTTTCGTAAAAGTCTATGAAGATCACGGCGAACCTCCTCCCAATCTGGAATATTTAAGCTTCCCCCAGTAATGAACCATGGACTGGCTCGTTTGATCGATTTTAGAAAGCCTTCTAGGGTTTTAGACTTGACTGCAGTCCCATGTTCTTTAAGTAACTTTTTTAGTTGATACTGTAATGATTCTAGCTTCCCGGAACTATTCCCCATAGTTTCTTAACCCCGTCCACTTACCTCGCTTTCACGATCTCGGTGGAACCTCCAATTGTCACGTCTGCTGCGTGGCCTGTGTCCGAGAACGTGCGGAGGGTGTCGGGGATTGACAACACAGAGACTCGTTCAACGATATAAAGAGAACTTTAAACAGGCTCCAAAAAGGTTCAAGAAAAACTTCCTAAGAAAAGCTCCCACCAGAGAAGCTTCTGCTCTCTCCTCTCCCCTGGCTGGTTCTGCTCTGACACCAGAGGTGGATGTGTGTGGGTTTTTGAAGGTGCGGTTAGTCTTTGGACAAGGTCGAGGTCAGGGCGGTTTCTGTGGGAAGGCCTTTCCCAGGAACTTATTGTATCATTTTTAGTAAACATGTTTTTACTAAACATTGTCTTACAGCTGCCTACTCCCAGGCAGAAGGGGAAGTGGCCAGGAACTTATTGTATCGTTTTTAGTAAACATGTTTTTACTAAACATTGTCTTACAGCTGCCTACTCCCAGGCAGAAGGGGAAGTGGGTCTCTGCTCAAGGTCTGGTGTTCCCACATTCATGTTTGGCATATTCTGGATTTCATTAAATGACTTATCCTGGTGGGTTTCATTGTAGACCTTCAGACAGTGTAAGAAATCTGAGGTCATCTGCATCCTGATATTGTAATTGTGAGTGATAAGACTGGATACTAATGAAGGATGGAAACCTTAGTAAAAATTGTGATTCACCTGGTCTACAGAGCAAGTTCTAGGACAACACAGAGAAACCCTGTCTCAAAACACAACAAAAACAAAGAATCATGGCTCCAGAATTTAAATAATCAGTTCTCAGGGGCTGGAAAAAGTGGGTCAAAGAATACAATGTCTGCCACAGAAGCCCAGTTCAGTTCTCAGATTCCATAGGAAGAAGAAGGGGATACTCAGTGCCCCAGAGCTGTCCTCTGACCTCCGCATGTACACATCGTACCCACACATCTAACAACAGTAATCGTGGGTTTTACATCTTTATAGTGCTCTTGTCTAGGGCACTTAACTTGCTTTCCAAATAAGTAGTTATTTTTTTAAAGATTTTTGTCAAAATTTTTCAAATTAAACCAAGCAGTGGTGGTGCATGCCAGCACTTGGGAGGCAGAGGCAGGTGGATCTCTGTGAGTTCAAGGCCAGCCTGGTCTACAGAGTGAGGTACAGGACAGCCAGGGCTATTACTCAGAGAAACCCAGTCTCAAGAAACCAAAAAAATGTTCTTCAAATAATATGTCCATGTACTTGAGCAAGACCTCATTGTATACTGTCTGATAATTGTATTCTTGTGTGTATGCTCAGCATTGAAACTCAGTTATGGTTGTATTGTGTATGAGCTTTACCACTGAGCGCTGAGCTACAATGCTAGCCTCTAGTAATTGGATCATTTTGTTTTTGATGGCAGTTAAGTCATTGGTTGTTTGGTTAGTTGGTTGGTATGTTTGAATCCTGGTCTTGTTATGTCGCCCAGGTTGTCTTCAACTGTGATCCTTTTGCCTCAGCTTCCCAAGTTCTGGGAAGGTGCGTGCCACAACACCCAGCTTCTAAATCTTTTGAAAATGATTAGTTTTCAGTGTTGTTATTCTGAAACTCAGAGGCAGACCTTTTCTCAATACTTCACCATTACTTTTGATTTTGTTTAAAACTATATGACATGTATCATCTTTAAGGGGCTGCTATTACAGTGTGCTTCTCCAGAGCCTCCAGCTTCTCTTTCAGTTTTTACCAGAGGAGGGGAGAGTCCTAGGCAGTGCTTTCCTGTTTCCGTATCACTGGCTTTAATGAAGAAACAAGTTGTCTGTAGAGTGTGGACTATGGTTACTGTCAAGCCAGGGGAGAAACCTACAGAATTACTCTTCAGTTCAGTGCACCACGTTCTCTATGGCCTTCAACTCTGTGGCTGTGCTTCACTGCACTTTTTTTCTTTCAGGAGAGAGCTTTGCCGAGTTCAGATCCACAGGAACAGATGACGGCTTCACCGACTTCAAGACTGCCGATAGTGTGTCACCCCTCGAGCCACCATCAAAAGACACTTTTCCGGCAGCCTTTCCCTCCGGAGCTGCACAACAGAAACAGGCACAAGTGAAAACCCCTCTGAACTTAGCAGACCTAGATATGTTCTCCTCAGTAAACTGCAGTGGTGAGAAACCAGTACCCTTTCCAGCTGCATTTAGCACGTCAAAGTCAGCTTCCACGAAGCCTCCACCGGCCGGCTCTGCGGCCCCCTCGGCAGCACTGGTATCCACTAAAACTTCTAGTTTGGTAGATGATTTTGGAGAGTTCAACCTCTTCGGGGAATACTCGAATCCTACCTCTGTTGGGGAGCAGGACGACTTTGCAGATTTCATGGCTTTTGGCAACAGCTCTATTTCATCTGAGCCAAAAGCAGATGACAAATATGATGTCCTCAGAGAGGAAGTGAGTCCCAGCCCCTTGGCCAGCAGCACAGTGGAGAGTGTACAGAATCCACCTGCTGCATCTTCCAAGTATGATGTCTTCAAACAGCTCTCCCTAGAGGGAGCTGGACTGGCCATTGAGGAGTTCAAAGAGAACACTCCTTCCGCAAAGAGTGACGATGACTTTGCTGACTTCCACTCCAGTAAATTTTCATCCACAAGCTCCGACAAATCCCTGGGAGACAAAGCGGTGGCTTTCAGACATGCCAAGGAAGACTCTGCCTCGGTGAAGTCTTTAGATCTCCCCTCCATCGGTGGCAGCAGCGTTGGCAAGGAGGACTCTGAAGATGCGCTTTCTGTTCAGTTTGACATGAAACTGGCTGATGTGGGAGGAGATCTTAAGCATGTCATGTCTGATAGCTCTTTGGATTTGCCAACAGTTAGTGGCCAGCATCCTCCTGCCGCAGGTGAGGAATTGGTGAGATTGCTTTGGTGATGGTGGTGTAGCTTTTAAAGATGATTCTGTGGGTACTGTTGACTGACAGACTGAGGATATCTAGTAATTAGTTAGCCTCCTGTTGTCTGTCTGCTCCAAGCAGTGTTAAACATGATATTATGGAAACCTTAATCTGTGGGTACTCTGGCTGCTCCCAAGCTTAGACTGGAAATGCCGAAATATTTTTATTTTTGAAACCCGAAACTGACTTGGTGTCAGAGGCCCATACAAACTCACTGCTCAGTGAACCCCACTTAGCCAGGAATTTTATCATAACTTTCGCAGTGTCCACAGTGTTTCTTCATCCCTGTGAGCAGGGCCAGTGCTCCTGCTCTCCTTTTGTCTTCTGTTGAGTATATTTAGAGTTGTTAAGACAGTATTTATGTGGTTGGTTTACAGAAACTGACTTCCTAGATCAAGAGAGTGAAAAACTCTCCCCACTTGGAATGCAGTTTGCCAGCTTCCTTGAGTAGAGGGAAATAGGTCACTTAGGGATGCTCGGCGTGTCAGGACCTAGCGGGGAGCAGGCCTATTTTCAGTGTTGCTGTTGCAGTGTTACTGCAAGGATTAAATTGTGATAACCCTGTAGATGCTAGGGTAGGGTAACTACTAACTTCTGATCAGATGTGTGAAACCTTTCACTAGGGAGCCCTCTTTAAACCTTGTGTGGATTTGCGTGTAGCAGTTTATTCTCTGGTTCAACTTCCTGTCACAAGAACTAGATTCCCAAGTGTCCTAGTTTTTATTTTGTTTTTTAATATGTATATAGAAAGATAAACCTATTTTGTGGCCTTTAATATTGAGAACTCTCTCGGCATTACTGTATTATTCTAGAAAATGTAGTGTGCACGTGCAGGGTTTGTTTCTTTACCTGAGAGGGACAGGTAAGACACTTGCAAGTTTACAGGCTCAGCAGACATTGTGAAGTGCTGTAGGATCCACAGATTTCAAACTGGCAAATAGTGTCCGTCCTTTGCTACTGAAAGGGTTTCTTAGCTGAGTTTTGAATGGGAAGCAACGTTAGCAAAGATGCGCGTGTTTCGTCTGCTGCAGGCCAAGGGGTTCCCCCGGGTGCAGCAGGCTGTTAGCGCTCCTCTGCCCTTTGCTATTATTTCCTCATTTTTTCTGTTTTTCCCTTTGCTGCTGTTTGTTTGATTGGTGATTTTATTCTTCTTTTTTTTTGTATGAGCTGAGTGAGCCACAACACTTGGTCATAAGGGCCATTGTTTTTTAAAAAACAGTATTTGATTTTATTTAAAAAAAAACAATTTCACAACATGTATACTAGCCTTTTGGACTCTGAAGTTATTAATTAGAGGCTATTTTTCTGAAAATGAATCTATATTCTTTCACAGTGCCAAACCACATATCTTTGTGAAATGAGTTAATCCAGGTTTGGGATGTCTTTTTCCTGCCCTTTATTCGGTAAGGGGAGGTTGGCCTTTGACTGAGCTCATTCCAATGGACCTGTTAAATAATCTGTGCCCATGCTCTCTCTGTATGTTTGGAACATTCCCGGAATGGAACCTGTCATGTTCAAGCCAGCTCTCGTCAGAGGAGGAGGCCTGACAAGCAGATTGTTTCCTCCTGTGGCTCTGTAAACCTCTGGTGGGAAAGGAGCAGTAACCCTTCAGAGCGGTTGTTAAGAGGGTTGATGGCTGACCAAGGAGTTATGCCTATGTGTCGTTGAGAAAGATTGCTGCATAAGTAAATATATTACAGAGGAAGAGTGGCAGGCAGGCATCGCTTCAATGCACTGTGACTTTATTTTACCCTTCCACTCACCGTGGAGTCTCTTGCTCTCTTCTTCTGAGGGTTAAAAGAATATCCTGGAGAAATAAGAATTGGGCTGATGGAGCAAAAAGAACTTGCATGATTACTGTATTGTTTATGGACCATGGTCCTGTTTGGAAGCCCTAACTTAACTCTGAAGGGGATACTGTCTCTAGCCCATGCTGTTAACTCTTTGTATGGAAGGTAGATAATACTAATAATATTGCCTGGTTTCTCTCTGCACATCGTCACATTTACCTTTTAGCCCTACCTTGCTGCGTATAATCTCAATGAGGCTGCTTTCCCACCCCCTAAATTTACTCTTTCTGGCACAGCATCGTCTTGATGTTCAGTCCTTAAGATCCTTTGTTTCTCTGGCAGCAAGAGCTTACTTTGATTTGTGACTTTCTTAAAGAGTTAGCAAGACCTCTGTGGCTACCTACCTGTGAAGTAGCTCTTTTTGACATGGAAAAATCTTTGTATTTTAATCAGCACCTTATTATTTTGGGGGCTGCTTTTCTGATGTCTTTTTTCAACATAGACACTTGTGTGTGAATGTGCCCTTTGGAACTTGCTTTATCCTCTTTCTCTGCAAACACTGGCCTGCATGCTTACTCTGATGGCTCCTTCCCAGCTATTCTGTACCATTCTCTTGCAATCTGTAAGTCCTGTGTTAATAAACAATTCTTTGGCATATTTTGAAAGTGTGGGGATGTGTGTAATTTATGTTTTTCAGAATCAGACCAAAGAAATACCTGGCTGGTATAAAATTGAAGTCATGTCCCTTGAGACTGTGTTTTCTTTTTTTCCTCCTAAGAAAGCAGGGGTGTGGTTTAGTCCTTGCCCCTTGTAAGACCATTGACAAGAGTCCTTAATATAGCCTCGAACTGAAGTGTAGCTTGAGCTCAGTTAGTAGCATGCTTGCCAGCATCTGCAGAGGACTTATTAAACCTCAGCACCAAATAAATCAATATATGTAGAAATATATTAAGCACAGTCCTTAGCAATGTAAAGCTAAAGCTCAGCCAGGTGTGAGACACACACCACTGATCTTGGCACTTATGAAACTGAGACAAGATTGTGAGTTCAAGGCCAGCCTGAGTATACCATTGTGTCTCACTAGACAAAGTAAAAGAAAAAAACAAAACCAAAACATGAAAGAGTGGAAGGAGATAACGTGTACACTCTGACCTGGACACTCACACATGGCACACTTGTGCTCACACATAGACACACTATACACACAATAGTAATAAATGTTAAAAACTAAAACAACCCACAAAACAAAAGAACTAAGCTTTAAACCATTTTCATTTCTCAGAAAGCAGTTTCTGGCCTGACTCAGTGGTAGACTGTTTACAAGGCACTGGATTTGATGCCAGCATTGCAATACATCAGTCAGCAAATTAATTAATAAAAACCTCAAAGACCAGTGAAAGTGAGCAATGAGGAGCCAGACTTGGAAACCATTTGCTCTACTTTAGAATAGGATAACAGTGAGGAACCTTGACAATCTACTTATTTTTCAAGTCCCAGACCCAAGCTACCTAAAGATTTTGGAGAAAAGAATCTTTTCAATATTTTCACTTTTACACATGATTTGAAGTTTTTGTTCATTTTTAGAATTTGTGGAAGAAAGGATATTAAACTCCTGAAAATGGGAATTTTGAGTAGGATTCCAGAGATCATTTTCATATGCCACCAGAGAAAGAAAAAAGCTGTGTGTTGGGGTTGAAGTACACTCAAAGAAAAGCCAGGCCCTCCACTCGAGATGTATAATGTGTTGGAAGTTGAGAGGTTACTGTTAAAACCTTGTACAAGATGCTCTGCATTTTAGCTGTGTGTGCCGCTACCAAACGTGGAAGAAAAACCTCCAGCTAGTGATGCCAGCAGCTGCACTCTCCATTGTGAGACCGACCTCATGGAGCTGTGGCTTCCTTTGTCCGTAGATTCTGTAGAGCCAGAGCAGCCTACTGGGATTGCTTTAACTCCCTTGTGAGTGGAAGTGACTGTCCCTGTGTGTGACTGTCATTCATTGAGCAACTCATTGTGTCTAGGTAGCGTATTATTTTTAGGTAGGTAATTTTAATAGCACAATCCAACATCCCTTGGATTCTGTGCTATAGGTTCAAACAAATAGCACTGTGGTGTTTATCCTGATGCCAGGTAAGGTACGGTTGGTTAACACTTATTTCTGTTTGTGCCTGAGACATCCCACAAATGTGCTGGTGTTCTGCAATCACTGCATTGTTCCTGTTAGAATCCACGCTGATCACCAGAGGGAACTGGTGAGAACAGAGAACATTGGCAATGCCATACAAGCTGTGCCAGCTTCTAAAATAATTGAATGAATTGGATTGTTATTATTATTATTATTATTATTGTTATTTGTGTTGTTGTTGTTTGAGAAAGGGTTCCTCTCTGTGGCCCTGGCTACCCTTGCACTCACTCTATAGATCAGGCTGACCTTGAACTCAAGAGATCCACCTGCCCCTACCTCCTGGGTGCTGGGATTAAAAGTGTGCACCACCACCACCTGGTGATGATTTTTATTTATATCACTTCTACTTTGTTTGAGTCAAGGTCTCACTATGCTGCCTAGGCTGATTTTGAACTCCTGAGTTTAAGTTACCCCTGCTGCCTCAGCTTCCAGAGTAGTTAAGACTACAGGTACATGTCATCATGCCCAGTTATTTTTACTTATGTACATTTTATTTATTGCATGCTAAACAAGTGCTCTACACTTGAGGTACACTCTCAGCCAAAATCACTTTGTCTTTCTAATGAGTGGCTTCTGCTTGGTTCTGTCATTTGAGGACTTTGGATAACTTGTTTGGGAAATGTCAGAGAGCATATACCCTGGAGGCTCTGCCCCCTAAGTCTGCTCGCTCCCTTTTGGTAGTCAGAAAGCCTTCATTGTAATTGCCATCTTTTGTGCTCATTTGGTATCATTTTGATGGGATTTCTATTATTTTGTACTATTTTTAATTATGTGTGTGTGGGGGGGGGGGTGCTTGAGTGCAGGAGCTGCGGAGACCAGAGGTATTGGGTCCCCTATAGTTGGAGTTACAGGCCGTTGTGAGGTGCCTGGCATGGCTGCTGGGTCCTCTGGTAGAGCAGTAAGTACATGCTCTTAACCTCTGAGCCCTGTTTCCAGCCTGGGATTTCCCTGACTGGCCTTGGACGGTCTTACTGTCTCTTGCCTTCTCTCCTCCTCTTGAGTTTAGTACTCTCGTGCTTGCTGCTTTTCTTCATTGAACTTAAAGCATTGACATAGAAACCTGAAGATGCCTACAGTGTGGACACAATGTAAACCATAACATCACAGGAGTCAGTGTAAACATGCAGAGTAGGAAGTTGCTGCACAGATTAGAAAACACAGGAAGGCCATCAAACAGCAATGTTTTGTAGCCTGTTGCTTGGTGAAGTCATTTTACCTGTTCTCTACCACAATGCCTATCAGGATGCTTGAGACTTAACAAGACATAGTCAGTCCAAGCCTTGCAGTTAGTGGAGAATATTCTCTAAGGCAGAATTGGACCCAAAATGGGGAGAATTGGAAATACACAAATATTTCATGGTTTGTGTTGATAAATGAAGGCTGGGTTAACTCAGCACTAGATGTTAGAAGTTGTTTCCTCTTTGGGCCAGCAAACGTTTCTACTGCTGTGCAGAACACTGAAGAATGGTGGAATTCTACATGTAATTTTTTTTCTTTCTCTAAAAGCCTGAGCATATGCCCACAGCTTTAGAAAACATCCACAGGGGTGGGTCTCACCTTCAGTGTCCTGTGTTGGTGACTTGCATGCCTGGGGATACCCTGTTTTCATGTACAACATGCATTCAAAGTGGATTTGAATAGAGGTTATGGAATAGCCTGATGGTGTTAGCTGCCTGTAGGAGAAAAGGCTGTGTCTTGACTTGATCATGATGAGTAGGTTGAACTGTTTATTCTCTTGCCCTTTGTCATAGCGAATTTCTGGTTGCAAACAAATCCATGTGTGAAAGCACACAGTTTGGCTTATTACCTGAGGCCGCTTGCTGCTCTGTCTCGCACCACCCAGCAGCAGAAGAATTGGAGATGCTCTTCTTTTATTGCAGTCATTACACATTTTCTTTTTTTTCTCTTATAATTTTAAAAATTCAGCTACAAAATTGCGAAGCCATCTCTAGTCACTTTCGTGCTTATAACATTCGATATCATTTTTCCCAGACAGGGCTCCTGTTCTTTATGCTGGAGGCCTTGCTCATTATTTTTAAGATCTTTATACAATAATACGTAGAACCAGGTTGCTAGGCAAATAGGGAGCTGCTAACATGAAAAAAAAAGTTGTTCTTTACCTTCAATCAAATTATGTACCAATGTTTTCTTAGAAAATGGTTTACCAGTATTCACTATACCAAAAAAAGCACACTCCGTATTTATAGTGTATATGGATGCTAACCTCAGGGATGGGTATTATGTAACTGTCATCTTTTTGGCTGTTATGTAATGCCAGTTTAGTGCTTATGTGTTGGAATTAATTACTTTTTAGTAAATTGCTTTTCATCCACTGGCAGCCAGTAAACAAGCAAAAGTAAAAACATTCCATTTCAAAGGTTGCATTTAGTGAGTAACTCATAGTATGTTTACACACACACATATATCAACATATCAAACATCTCCTTTTAAGTCTTTCATTTGGTTTTTCATTTAGTTATTTGATCACCTCAATGAGTAGCTCCGGGAAGTGAAATGTTCTATGATTTCATTGAAGATCTTTGTAGTTTTAAAGTCTTGTGAGCTCTTTAGCTAAGGTAATCCTTATTGCTTACAATGCCTTTTACCTGATGTGAGTCATTCTTGATTAAAAAAAAAAAAGGCTTGCTTTCCTGTTGTATAATTAGGCAAAAAGGTCTTTTTTATTGCCATAGCAACTTGGCTGCAGTGTTTGAGCCAAAGCCAGAGCTGTCATTCCATAAATTTATCTTTGATCTGAAAAAAAAATCACTATTTTTTAGCAGATAAGATACTGGAAGCAGTTTCTGATATGGTTTCCCCAAAGGGCCTTCTGGAAGGGTCTAATAATAAATGTATCTGTGTGGTAAAGCATTCTGCTGAATGCACCCCTGACAAATGAGTCTTGTGTTTGCTGGAATCTTCCTCCAGGTTGAATGACACCTCATTTGAGACTGCACGTCTAGATCTAGGCAGACCCTCTACCCAGAAGGGAAGTACTGCAGTGAGGGACTAAGAAAGTGCTTTGTCCAACAGCTTGCTTCATTCATTCTAAACTATAAACGTGCTGCCCAAATCACTTTCCTTCTTATTAAGTAAGCCACATGTGAAGGGTGCGGTTTGCACTGCAGAATTTTAAAGTATTCCATCATTTAGCAAAGGAGAGTTGCTTTTTTACTGGTTGACTACCTAGCATTTTTGGGGGGGCGGGGGTTTCAAGACAGGGTTTCTCTGTGGCTTTGGAGGCTGTCCTGGAACTAGCTCTTGTAGACCAGGCTGTTCTCGAACTTACAGAGATCCACCTGCCTCTGCCTCCCGCTGGGACTAAAGACACCACTGCCTGGCAACTATCTAGCATTTTTATTATTAATTTAATGCTCTTATCAGAGCATAGGGAGATGTGTGGAATGATGGTGGGAGAGCTGTGGAAGTGTCCAGAACCTCGTACCTATTCGAAACTATATGCTATTGCTCTGAAAGGAGGGAAAATGACCAGTGCCATTCACCCATTGACTTAGTTATGAAAATCTGGTCACAGAACTTTGCATTCCTTGTGAGTTGTGTGTAGCTATCAGTGTGGTTGGCCTTCTCATCTCAAATACAGTAGTGAGAGGAGCTTCTTTCAGCAGGGTACTAGGGCAGGCTAGAGACGGCTTCCCTGGTGTTGCTTTTTGAAAACTAGCTGCAAAGCTAAGCCTCGAATCTAGCTACTGGAGAGGCTGAGGCAGGAGGATTTTGAGTTCAAGGCCAGCCTAAGCAGGTTAATAAGAGCCTGTTTCAACAGAGTTGAAAACAGAGAGCTGGAGATGTGGGTCAGTGACCACTGCCTGCTGTACCAGATCCCTGGTCCAATTTCCTTAGTGTAGAAGAAGGCAGAAAACGAGCGGAACAGGTTTTCCTAACAAATCACTGAGATAGTGAGCTGCCTTTTTATTTTCACCCTGGAAGGACTCGTACTGTTCCGTGTGTTGCCCTCCAGGCACTGAGCAGCCTTCCACACACGTCATCACAGCCGATTGTCCTCAAAACCCTTCTAGCACATAGACTCACCTCCACGTCACAGATGAGCAGACCAGGCTTCAAAGGAGTACACGTGGGAGCTAAGACTAAGATGGGAGGGCTTGCCAGGAGTTCACGGCCAGGCCAAACTAGAAGGCTGGTGCCCATGCTAACGAAGGAAGTGGGTGGCAGAGTCTAACTCTGATCTTCCCAGACTGAAAAGCTGCATTCGTTCTGCTGCTGTCTCATTCATTCATTCATTCATTCATTCATTCATTCATTCATAGACCAGGCTGGCCTTGGAGATCCGCCTGCCTCTGCCTCCCACGCGCTAGGATCAAAGGTGTGCGCCACCACTCCAGCTTACTTACTTAAATGTAGACGAAGAAGAGAGTGAGTCTTCTAGCCTAGCACACCTTCCTCTTACTTCTTCCACTTCTCAGTGAGTTTGAGGAAGGAGATGCATTACTGAAGCAGAAACAGCCCACAAGGACCTCGGGCTTTTCATTTGCTGGTCTGGAACTCAAAGAGATCCACCTGCTTCTGCTTCCTGGAATTAAAGGTGTGTGCCACCACACCCAGGCCCTCCATTCTATTTTTTTTTTAGGACTAAAGTAATTCAGGTTGATTTTATTTTTCTCACAATCCATCCCAGCAATAGGATATCCAAACTGACCAAAATTAAAATGAGGTAAGTGACTTCTTGATTCAAATCCTATACGTGTCTTTGCCTGACACAGAAATTTCTAGTAACTTATTAAAAGTTAGATGAGAAGGGTTTTACTTTTTGTTTTGAGAAACTGGATTTTTGGTTTGTCACATTGCCAATAGCTATGCTTAAGAGGAACACTGTCCAACATGGTCCAGAGAAAAAGGGACAAGGTTTGAGTACGGAATACGTAAGTATGCCTTCAAACTAAAAATGAATAATCACTAAATGACCGCAGTCTTCTTATCAGTGTGGGCATGGCTATATAACCTGTCTTTGTAGTAAATTTTTACATATGACAGAAAGGATTTGTTTTTTTGTCTCTTTGTAGACCTGGCTGTCCTGCAACTCTGTGTAGACTGGGCTGGCCTCAAACTCATAGAGATCTGCCTCTCAAATGCTAAGATTGAAGGTGTGTGCCACCATGCCCACCTAAAAAGATTCTTTAAAATCAAACATAAATGCTAGCTGAAAATGAATGTGGTTCTCCTTTAGTTTTTTTTTTTTTTGGTTTTTTTTTTTTGTTTTTTTTTTTTTGGTTTTTCGAGACAGGGTTTCTCTGTGGCTTTGGAAGCTGTCCTGGAACTCGCTTGGTAGTCCAGGCTGGTCTCGAACTCACAGAGATCCACCTGCCTCTGCCTCCCGAGTGCTGGGATTAAAGGCGTGCGCCACCAACGCCCGGCGGTCCAACTCCTTTAGTTTTAGTACAAGCTTTGACTATAGTTCCTGCAGCATGGCGTGGGACTACTGAAATGGTCTAGGCATTTTGCCTAACTTAGGAGCTTGCCTCTAACCGTGAGGCCACCCTTCCCTTTCAGACGTAGAGGACTTAGAATGCGACGCTTTCAGAAGCTATGGTAGCATTCTGCAGTGAGCACATTTAGAAACTGTGTGAGTGGCCGGCCAGACAGGGGTGATGCATCTCAGGGTAGAAATCTCTCTCCATTTGTCCCCTCAGCAGGAAGTGGGTACTTCTCGGCCACCCCAGATCTTCTAAAGAAAGAGGCCTCATTTGGCAGTTCTGAGAACATCACCATGTCATCTCTCTCCAAAGGAACGGCCTTGGCAAGCGAGGATGCTCTCCCGGAGACTCCCTTCCCAGCCTTCGCCAGCTTTAAAGACATGATGCCTCAGACCACTGAGCAGAAAGAGTACGAAAGTGGGGACTACCAGGACCTGCCCACAGTGGAACGGAGCCAAGAGACCACAAGTCCAAGTCCAGCTTCCAGTGTTGCCTCTCACGAAACTCCCAAAGAGTGTGCAGATGACTTTGGAGAATTTCAAAGTGAAAAGCCCAAAATCAGCAAGTTTGACTTTTTAGTAGCCAATTCACAAAGCAAAATGAAGTCCAGCGAAGAAATGATCAAAAGTGAGCTGGCAACCTTTGACCTTTCTGTTCAAGGTAAGATTTTCTTCCTGTGGTGTTATTCCACTGAGGTGTTACACATTCTTTCCTGAGGATAAAATGGTGATTTTTAAAACCAGGCATGGTGATGTGTAGGTGGAAGTTTCTGTCCTGCCTGGTCCTACAGCCGTTTAGTCCCAAACAAACATACTGAGGACTATATTAATTATAAACTGTTTGGCCGATGGCTCAGGCTTCTTAATGGCTAGCTTTCTTAATTATTAACTCATAGCTATTAATCTATGTATTTCCACGAGATCTCGGCTTACCAGTGATGCCCAGGTCCCTTTCTTCCTCTGCAGCTACATGGCGACTCTGTCCCGCAACTCACACTTTTCCTTTTCCCAGAATTCTCCTAGTCTGGTAGCCCCCACCTATACTTCCTGCTGGCTACAGTGATGCATGTCTGTAGCCCTAGCGTTCAAGATGCTGAGGCAGGAGGATCATGAGTTTTAGATCAGCTGGTTATAGAACAAGCTTCAGGCCAACTTAGGCTACATAGTAGATACTATCTCAAAAACTAACAAATAATTTCAAAGAAAAAGTAAAATGGTGATTCTTTGTTTAGCAGGAAATAGATGTTCCAACCTCTAAGACTGGAGTTTCCCTGGAGCTCAAGTCAGTTTCCTGTCCCTCACAGCTGCTTACTGAAGAAAGACCAAGTAGAACGTGTGTCTTTCTTCACTCTCTAGTTTGCTTACAAGTGTGCTGTATGCCAACCGTGGTGGTGAATGCTTTAATTCCAGCACTAGGGAGCTGAGACAGAACTATCTGTGTGAGTTAAGGCCAACCTGGTCTACATAGCCAGTTCTAGGACTATATAGAGAGACCCTGACTCAAAAAAAAAAAAAGTGTGCTATCTAAAATAGCTGAAGAAGTGAATTTGATCATTTTGGGGGCAAGTTAGCTCTGCTCTTGTTCCCCAAGTTGAGTATAGCTATGGGTCTTTATTCAACCTACAGATCTGGGGGTTTTATTTGTTATCATTGTTGTTGTTTTGTTTTGTTTTTTGACAGAGGGTCTCATGTAGCCCAGGTTGGCCCCAAACTCACTGTGTAATAGAGAATGATCTTGAGCATCTGATCCTCCTGCCTCAACCTCCCAAGTACTCCTAAGTTCTGGTGTGCACCACCATGCCTGGCACTGAATGCATATTTATTTAAGTATATGTGTGGGCACACGTGCCAGGCATGCGCAGGAGGGCAGAGGACAACTTTTAAAAGTCTGTTTTCTCCCTCTGTCATGTGAGTCCTGGCCATCCAACTCTAGTTGTCAGGCTTAGCAGCAAGAATCTTTATTTTCTGAGCCACTGTGCCCATGAATGCATTTTTAATGGTCTCTTTGGGCCGATGGCTCAGTGCTTAAGAGTGTGTACAGCAAAGGACCCTGAGTTCAGTTCCTACTGCCCACGTCAGGCACAACTGCCTGTAACTCTAATTTCAAGGAGGATCCTACAAAAAAAAGGGGAGGAAAAAAATAAAGGAGGCTCCCATACCTCTGGCTTTCATGTGCACATGTACTACATACACAATTATTTTAAAGTAAAATAAGGGTGCTGGTGGAGAGGTGGCTCAGTAGTTAAAAGTATTTGTTCTTGCAGATGACCTGGGTTTGATTCTTGATTTCCAGCATCCATATGGTGGTTCACAACCATTCACAGTTCCAATTGATCCAATGCCTTGACTTCTGGGGATGCCAAGCATGCATGTAGTGTACATATGTACACACAGGCAAAACACTCACACATAAAATAAAATGAATAAATCTAGTAAAAACACTTTAATAAATTAAATATTTTTAAGATTTATTTATTTGTTTATGTATTTAATGTAATGAGTGCTCTATCTGCATGTATGCCTTTATGCCAAAAGAGGGCATCATATCCTACTATAGATGGTTGTGAGCCACCATGTGGTTGCTGGGAATTAAACTCAGGTCCTCTGGAAGAACAGTCAGTGCTCTTAACTGAGCCATCTCTCCAATCAAAATTAAATATTTTTCTAAAAGCTACCTGGGGCTGAATAAATGAATCAATGGTTAAGAACATGCCCTGTGTCAGTCATGGTGGTACACTCCTTTAATCCCAGTACTCGAATCTCTGTGAGTTCAAGGCCAACCTGATCTGCAGAAGGAAGTTTCAGGTCAGGCTCCAAAGCCACACAGAGAAACCGTGTCTCAAAAAACAAACCCAAACAAACAAAAATTTTTATAGCTGAACCTGACAGCACATCCTTTAATCCTAGCACTCCAGAGGCACTCTGTGAGTTTGAGGCCAGCCTAGTCTACACAGTGAATTCCAGGACAGTCGGGGTTACATTGTGAGACCCTGTCTCAGAACAAACAAACAAAAAGAACATGCAGTGCTCTTGCAAGGGACTTGAGTTTGGTTCCCAGAACCCACATCTGGCAGCTCACAACTACCTATAACTCTAGTTCCAGGGAATTTGATACCTTTGGCCTCTGTGGGCACCTGCACTCCTATACTCATAACCAAACATATAGCACACATACATAATTAAAATTCACAAAGATCGGCACCTTTAAAAAAGGTTTAAAACTGATCCTTGAAACCTGAAGTAATAACAAACATTTTAAAATTGTATTTCTCAATCTGGATTTCTGGTTTTTCTTGCAAAGCTGTAATATCTGGCAGTGGAAGGCCTGCATTCCCAATTCTTAACAGTCAGCCGGAACTGAACAGCAACACACCCCAGAGGTGGAGAGGTATCTCCCAGTTAGTCAGAGTCTCTGCCATCTTTCTCCAAATCCTCTGCTTCATTACTAACCGCACATCCTGTCTCTGGAGCTCTGGATCTACAGGAGAATGCCAGTCTTCAAGCAGGGAGGTGCAAGCCTACAGCCAATGATAGGAAGGGTCTTATGGCTCCTAGGCACCCATATTTAGAAAGGCACTTGGCATCTAGACACTGGTGATTCAGACCTTAGGGTTATGTAGTGTAGTGATAGATCAGAGAGGAGTAATGGAAGAAACCAGAGGAAGGCTCCAAGCACAAGAGATCAAAACTCAAAGAACTTCCCAGACAGACCGAATGAAGACTGTGTTTCAAATGCCTCCTGATGTGACCTCCTGTAAGACGGTCACATTAACAAGCAGGCCCCTGCTTGAGCCAGGTTGAGTAGCGGAACCTTTGTACCTACTGTTCCCTCCGCCCAGGATCACACAAGAGGAGCTTAAGCCTTGGGGATAAAGAAATAAGTCGGTCCTCTCCTTCTCCCGCCCTGGAGCAGCCTTTCAGAGACCGTTCTAACACCCTGAGTGAGAAGACGGCGCTGCCCGTTATCCGAGACAAGTACAAAGACCTGACTGGTGAGGTGGAGGTAAGCTGGGCAGCTTCCTGGGAGAGCACCCCAGGAAAGAATGTTTTTCCACTTTCCCAAGGAAGAAGGAGGGGAGGGATGAGGAGGAGACGCTGTATACCAGGTAGCAAATAGATCATTAGACGTGGAGGCTGGTAGCGTTAGCCCAGGATGAAAATGTATCCTATGTATGACAGCCATAAAAGTCATGGCTAAAGCTGAAAGTGTTCATGGGACTTTGCAAGGAGAGAAGCATTTAAAAAAAAAACTTTTCCAAAACTTACACTTTATCATCCTACTGAATTTTAAAACATCAACATAGAGGAGAGGAAAAATGTTTTGAACCTTCTGTTTCTGTTTGTAGTACCTTAATTCCATCCCTGTCCCTTGTGATACATGCAAGTGTATCCACACATACACATGCACACACAGTAGTGAACTATAGAATGGAAAGCTGGGGCTGGAGAGATGGCTCAGCCATTAAAGGCTAGGTTCACAACCAAAAATATAAGAATGGAAAGCTGTAGTTTTATTCTGTGTTGGGGGGTTGTTTTGAGACAGTCTCATATAGCCCTGGTTGACCTAAAACTCTCTATGTTGACCAGGCTGGCCTTAAACTCAGTGATCCTGCTTCAGTCCCCCAAGTGCTAGGATTTTGGGGGTACACCCCCACACCTAACTAAAACTATAGGATGGCAGAAGCTCATATAGTAGGTACCTCCATGGTGAGTAGCTGGATAGAAGCTTACACTGTTACTGACTGGAACAAATGAGGCACATTTACACAGAGAGGCTGCTGTAAAATAAGTCCTCCAAGTCCCTATTTCTTGTCTCTTAGTGGATTTTGGGTGATAACTGTCTTTTGCAAGCATGCTTTCGATAGAAGGGAGTCATCCAAGCCCTTTGTATTGAGAGGAGTCACGAACAGAAGACCCTAAACCCACCTGTTGAACTCAGTTCCTTTTATAAAACCCACAGGAAAATGAGAGATACGCGTATGAGTGGCAGAGATGCCTGGGGAGCGCCCTGGATGTGAGTATGTCACTTCTGTGAATCTGAGCACTCTCTTGCAGTTTTGTCTCCTCCTGGTTCTTTTGAATGAATGCAGGCAAACATGGGGGATGCCTTACTTCCATCACCATGCACAGCACAGAAATCATGCATGGCCCTCAGAGAGATGGCTCAGTGGTTCAGAGCACTGGCTGCTCCTCCAGAGAACCTGGGTTCATTTCCTGGCTTCCACATGGTGGCTCACAACCATCTGTAACTCCAGTTGCAGGGGATCCAACACCCTCACACAGACATGCATGCAGACAAAACACCAATGTACATAAGATGAAACTAAATAAACTTAAAAAGAAAAGAAAACCATGCATCCTTCAAGTTTACAGCAGTAGACACTGGCTCATTTGTCAGCTGTCCCCTATGTTTGTCACTGTATTTAAGAAGTAGCAAAGTGGTATCATTGTCTCTGGCCTACATAGAGGTAATGTTTTAACTAAAGACCCTATTTCTCTCCCCCACCCCCATCCCTCTCTCCCTCCCACAGGAGTGAAGGATGATTTCTTCAAAGTTAAAATTGAATTCTTAGGTTTGTCTCTGCATAGGCACTTGTACAAGCCTGTTGGGCACAGATTTTCACACTGGTTGGGTTTTCTACTAATGGGAAATTGATTTGCAGTGACCTTTCTTAGTTATATGAGATATTGTGATTTCATTTCTTGTAGGTCATTAAGAAGGCAAATGACACCTTAAATGGCATTAGCAGCAGTGCTGTTTGCATGGAAGTTATCCAGTCAGCCCAAGGCATGGAATATCTCCTAGGTATGTTCTTTGGTATTTCACATAATCAAACCATGCCATGTTATGTTAGCATCAGTGTTCACTAACTCTACTTTATATAGCTTCACAAGCAGCTGCATTCACAGGCAAAACGTGGACATCATGGGCAGCAGCTATTTTACTTCAGTCTCTGTAGTGTGTGTGTGTCAATATAAACTTTATCTGTAGGGGCTGAAGAAATGGCTCAGTGGTTAAAGTGTCTACTGCTTTTACAGAGGACCAGTTCCCCACACCCATGTTGCTTGTCTCAGAACCGCCTGTAAATCCAGCTCCAGGGGACCCAACACACTTTTCTGGCCTGCACCAGACCCTGCACAGACATGGCATACATTCACACAGATTTACACACGTACACCTGAGTAATAACTAACATCTTAAACCAGCAACAGATATATATAATTCATTTATTTTATCAGCAAACCTTAACTAGTAAGACATTTTAAGTGTCGTCATTTTATGGGTGTCAGCTCCTCCTGCTCTCTATGCATTCTTCCTCTCTGTCCCTTAGTGACAGAAGCAGATCCCGTATCTTCCTGGCTGTCTTCAGCTGTTTACATCGAACTTGAAGCCCCAGTCTGATCCAGGGTTCCTCCCTCCGCAAGCTCAGGCCTCCCTGTGACCTGGGCCACAAGCACAGGAGACCTTCCCTCACCTGTCTGCTTTGTCAGTAAAGCTTTCATTCCCCTTTCTCAAAATCCCATCTCTTCTCCTTCGCCCTATAACCTTGAATATCTTACAGTCCTTTCTGTTTACACTACCTCCCTTCACTAGGGCGAGCCTCTAAGAGGGCAGAATGGGGGCTAGTTTTGTTCATCCCCACACCCCTGACCTCTGTCTTAGTGACTGGCACAGAGAGCATGCTAGTGAAGGGTGGAGGGCTGGTCATCTTGACTCCTGTACCAGCCTCTTGCTCTCAGGCATAGTTCTCTCCTCAGCTGGCTGACTCCCACTGCCCCCAAGGAATGGTGCCTTTCCTTCTAGGGGCTTTCCTAGTATATCCATGGAAGGGTCTATTGGAACAGCCCTTACTTTTTATGGTGGACAGCCATTCCTGCCCTTCCTTTGGAGAAGAGGAGGAAAAGCCTTGGTGTTGTGTGAAGTGATGAGGCCTGGAATTCTCTAGGGTTCACTAACAAAGTCTGGAGTGTATGCCTGTTGCCTGCCCTTAGGATAAGGAAGAACTTGGTACCTCCCTCCTTGCTTAAGAATCCAGCCTCTTAGGGCTGTAGAGATGGCTCAGCAGTTAAGAGCACTGGCTGGCCGGGCGTTGGTGGCGCACGCCTTTAATCCCAGCACTCGGGAGGCAGAGGCAGGCGGATCTCTGTGAGTTCGAGGCCAGCCTGGTCTACAAAGTGAGTTCCAGGACAGCCTCCAAAGCTACAGAGAAACCCTGTCTCAAAAAACCAAAAAAAAAAAAAAAAAAAAAAAAAAAGAGCACTGGCTGTCCTTCCAGAGGATCCAGGTTCAATTCTCAGTACCCACATGACAGCTCACAGATGTCTGTTACTCTAGTTCCAGGTGATCTGGCAGGCAAAACACTAAAAAAAAAAAAAAAAAAAAAGAATTCAGCTTCTGCCAGGCATGGTGGCGTACACCTTTAGTCCCAGCATTTGGGAGGCAGAGGTAGGCAGATCTCTGTGAGTTTAAGGCCAGGCTGGTCTCTACAAAGTAGGTCCCAGGATAGCCAGAGCAAAAAAGAGAAAAATAATTCAACCTCATCAGAGACCACAGGAATAGAACAGTCCTGACCAGGCTCCTGCCCATAATCCCAGCACTAAGGATGCTAAGGCAGGAGGATTGCTACTAGCTGAAGGCCAATGGGTTACATAGTGAATTCCAGACCATCTGGAATTCCCAAAGTCAGTGCACTTGCTACCAAGCCTGATGATCGGAGTTTAATCACAAGACCGACATGGTGGAAGGAGAGAACCAATTCATGCACCTTGTCCTCTGACCTCCAGACTGGCACAGATACCTCGCCACTCCCCCTCCCATATGCAAATACGTAAATGTATTTTTGTTTTATTTAATTTGGTTTTTCTTTTTTTGTTTTGTTTTGGTTTTTTGTTTTTTTATTTGTTTGTTTTTCCAGGCAAGGTTTCTCTGTGTTGTTTTGGAGCCTGTCCTGGAACTTGCTCTATAGACCATGCTAGCCTCAAACTCACAGATAATCTGTCTGCCTCTGCTTCCAGAGTGCTGGGATTAAAGGCGTGTGACACCACTGACCTGCTGTTTTTTGGCTTTTGTTTTTAAAGCTTGAAGATTCAGCGTGGATTACTCTGTGATAACATTAACATTTAGATTCTTTAAAGCTTTATTTCCATTTTCAGTCAGTTAATGGGATTTCTCTGGTTCAACCAAAAACTCAAAGAAATCTGAACTAAAAGCTTAGTATCTCACACAATGTCTTCTGCTCACAAAACACAATTATAAGCATTGTACAGTGTTCATGTGTTTCATCCTCTCGCCTATCCTCTGAGGAGTTGCTGTTAAAGTGTTAATGAGGCACACGGAGGTTCATAACTTGCCCTGAGATACATGGCTGCTGAGAGATGGGGCAGGGATTTGAGCTCACAGTGCATCGCTGTGGAGTTCATGTTCATACTTAAAAGCCTCCAGCAGCATTGGGCAGCACAGTGGTCTGGTGATGGCCACAGTGAAGGCCTGAGGATGTGTCTAGTGACCATCCTAGAATGAGGAGGTGCTCAGACCTCTTCTTGTTGAGACAGTTGGGCCTGACTGAAGACCACAGGAACAAAACCATCTGGCTGATCAAGGAGGCTCACACCTTGTGGTGTTTGAGCAGAATGGCCCCCATAGACTCATAGGTTTGAATACTTGGTTCCCAGTTTGTGGAACTGTTCAGGAAGGATTAGGAGGTGTGGCCTTGATGTAAGGGATGTGTTGGGTGTGGGTGGTTGGGTATGGGAGGTGCTTTTGGGCTTCAAAAAACTCCTGCCATTGCCAGTATGTTCTCTGCCTCCAGCTTGCAGTTTGAGACATGAGCTCTCAGTTCCTGCTGCCATGCCTCCATTCTGCAATTATAGAATGTAGATAGATTCTAAGCCCAATTAAATACCTTTTTTCAAGTCGCCTTGGACATGGTGTTTTATCACAACAACAGGAAAGCAACCAGTACATGCCTGTACTCACAGACCCGTCTCCACACAGTTGTGTTCCTCCTAGTCAGTCATCAGCAAGCTGCAGCTCTGCTTTGTCCTGCCTGCTTTTCCCATACCCAACTCTCTCCTCTCTCCCTGTCAGGCGTCGTGGAAGTGTACCGAGTAACCAGGCGTGTGGAGCTGGGGATAAAAGCCACTGCTGTGTGTAGTGAGAAACTCCAGCAGCTGCTGAAGGACATTGATAAAGTGTGGAACAACCTGATGGGCTTCATGTCACTTGCCACACTCACGGTAAGCCTGTGCAGCAGCTGCTTCTCTTTCAGAGCCTGTCTTGGGGCAGATAATATATTCTTAGGATGCACCTATTGGAGGATGAGTGTGCCAGCTGGACTGCGTTATGTTGCTGGAGGTCTGAGATAGCAGCCCCAGACTGGCTTTGGAGTTCCAAGGCCACTGGAGCTTGGGAAAGTTTTCCACCTTGGCAAAATAGAAGTGTACAACAAGATCCTTATCTGTAGTTGTTCATTTGTCTGTGTGTGTGTGTGTGTGTGTGTGTGTGTGTGTGTGTGTGTGTGTGTATGGAGAGAGAGAGAGAGAGAGAGAGAGAGAGAGAGAGAGAGAGAGAGAGAGAGAGAGAGAGAGAGGTAGAGAGACTGGGTGTGACCTTGCCACAATGTGTGTGTGGGAATCAGAGGACAACTGTAGATATCGGTTCTTACTTTCTACCTTGCATGAGACAGGGTCTCTATTGTCAGCCTCTGTGCACACTAGACTGGGTGACCCACAAGCTTCCGGAGGGGATATAGACATTGGCCTTACCACCTCCTGCTTTATATAGGCTCTGGGAAATTGAATTCATGTCCTCAAGCACTTTGCTCACTGAACTATCACTCAACACCAGTCTTTCTTGATTCTTACGAATGTAAGTTTTACAAAAGCAATGATTTGAATTATCCCTTTGCACTTAACTGATTTATACCCCATAGTGTTCTTTAGAGAGCTGTGTGGTAGACCATCATGTTGTTGTCCTACAGGCCACTCGCCACTGTTATTACTTTTCTTGGATTCATTTTTTCCATGATATGAATAGCTCTGCTCTAGATAAACAGATGACTAGCTCCCCTCTCTGTATTACAGTCTCTCAAAGTGGAGAAGGCCAAAGTGTGTGTACATGCATGAATGCAGCCTGCGGGGCTGCTGCAACACTTTCCAGGTAGCACTTAAGGCCTTGCTCTATTCCAAATGATAACTTACTGGTACTGTTCCTCTCCTCTATAAGCTAGTCACTTCTTTGGACCATTTCAGCATTCTTTTGATAGAATACAGCCGTTAACATGTTTCTATTCATAATATATATCCTAATAAACGTATCAGTTTGTTTCCTGCTTTTATTATTCTCTCTTCTCACCGTTCACTGTTTAAATGGTCAAACCCATTCAGTTAGTCCCTGATGTAGTCCCGTGTTCACAGCAGACAGAACTGGAAGCATGCTGCCACTCCTCCAGTTAACTAGTGACCCTCTGAGAGGGTTGCAGCTCTGCAGGAGGGAGGAGTTCCTAGTGTCCTTGGCTGACAGCCCAGTGATAGCCAGCTGTCCCATTGTGTCCTAAACAACAGATCTCACTGTTGTTCCGTTGCTTCTAGTTTTACTTTATTAAGTTCTTAGCGAGATTAAATGAGGGGCTGGAGGGATGGCTTCTCAGAGCTGCACTGCTCGTTTGTTTGGATTTTGTTTTTTCTTTGGTGGTGCTCGGGCTGGACCTCAAGACTCAGGAAGGCTAGAGGAGTTACTGTACTGCTGCTGAGCCATACACCCCTACCTAGTTCTTCTCTTTTTTTCAAAAGCCTCCATCTGCCATTGCCAAGATGTTCTGTGTAAACTGTAAATCTGGTTGTGTCAATTAAATTTCATTTAAAATCCTTCAGTGGCTGGGCATGGTGGTGTATACCTTTAGTTCCAGCAGAGGCAGGTGGATCTCTGTGAGTTGGAGGCCAGCCTGGGCTACAAATTGAGTTCCAAGACAGTCAGGACTACACAGAGATACCTTGTCTCAAAAAAACAGATAAAAGCAAAAACAAACAAACAATATATTACTGGAGCAGGCCTCCATGGTCTCCAGGACCTCAACCAAACTTCTTAGTTCAGCAGAGAGCTTTCCTCTTACTGAACTAGGCAGCTTTCCCTCTGAGCTCTGCATGGTTTTTCCAGAAGGCATTCCCAATGCCCTTTAGTCTGAATCAAAGGCCCTTCCTGCCTGAGTGTCTTTAGTCCATTTCTCTCAAACATCCATAGTGCATACCTCATTAGTTACTTTTCTTGTTACAACAAAATACCTCATTGAAGCAATTTGAAGAAGGTTTTTGTTGGCTTCCAGTTCATGGTGCGTGGTGTTGTGAGCAATTCTAGCTGTGGTGAGAGCTCCAGACAGCTGATCTCATTGTGTTGGTAGACAGGCAATGAAATGGTGATCTGTGGGTGCTGGTTCTCCCCCTTTCCATCTCTTTGTTCCAACTGAGTCCCATGGTTCACTGTGTTCACAGCATAAAAATAAACTTGATAGTCGAGAGGAGTTTGCTGGCAAGAGGACTAGAATGGATTTTTTTGTGTTCACCTTCTGGGCTCCATGTGAGCCCAGCACTTCAGATGCAGCCCTGTAAAAGCCGAGTGCATCCGAGGGCTCTCGCATCCATGGTCATTGTTTTGCTGATGCTACTTCTGAGCAAACTTGTCCAGTTGTTCCAAATGTCTAGTCACGAAAAGAAGCCAGCAAAGTGCAGAGCATTGTCCCTTGTCAATGAGAAAAACTGGAAACCGCCTGAAAGCTCTAATCTGGAGTTAGTGAAATAACCGGTGTGGCCCCTCATATGAGGTGCTGTGGGCATTTTGTCAGGGAGCATTCTCAGAATAACAGAACTATCACCACATGGCTGGGAGGGAGGCTGCCAACATAATGATTAGGTTGTGCTTAGTGATAGAATCTGTGTTTATAAGTATTCTCTGCCTTTCTCAGCTATCTTTAATGAATATTTATTTTGCTTGCAATGGAAAATAAATTTTCCCTCTGATTGAGAAATTTCTCATTCCCTTCTCACACTCGAACCCTTCCCCAAAACCCCTGTTGGTTGCCGTGGCCTCTTCTTCGGTCATTCTGATGGGTTGTCCAGTTGGCTGAGCTGTATGGTAGGGTCTTTAGCTGCATTAAATCTACACAGCAACTTGACATCTTTACTCTGCCACCATCCTGTCCTGAATCAGGGAAGGACCAGAGGCATCTAGCATGCTGTGTGCTTCATCCTATCCTGAAAAGGTTGAGTTAGGTAGACAAAACCGAAGATTCACAAAGGCTTTTGCTGGAGAGTAGATTGGCAGAGTGTAAGGTTAATGAGAAAAGGTACCAGGAGCTTGTCCTGGTACACAGTCAATCTGAAGTCAAGTCACTTTCTGTACCTTCCCCCTGGCAATTTATATCCCAGGATGGCAGAGCAATTACAGGCCTCCCACTTTGCCTTTAGATTTGAAGGTTCTGTGTTTTGGTGGCAGTCAGTTCTCACTGCTTGGAAAACTAGATCTCCATCCTTCCTCCAGTCAGCCACCACAGCCCCCCTCTTCCAGTGCTGCTGGTGAAGCAGACCAGGGTTAGAAAACCCATCTTGCCTTGCCTTGAGATTGTTGCTGTTTGTCCTTCCAGTTAGGGTGAAGAAAAACCTGGAAGTGTCAGGCCTAGTTGCTGGCCTGTGTTCACCAGGTGAAGTAGCTGCTGTCACTAGCAACTGGAGAAGCCATTTTCCTCAGTGTACATCTTCCCCAACTCCCTGGAGAAGTTGGGAAAGATGCCCTGCCACTGTTGATGAAAATGACTTGTCTTCTAGGCTCTGCTCCTCACTCCAGGTCACTTCTGAGTTTACACACAACAAAATGCCCAGAACCTTAGTACCATCACACCATGCGTTTTGTGACTTTCCCCATCTGTTGACAAATGCATGGGCCCTTCTGTATCATCTGTGCCCTGTCAAGCTGTGGACTATTTCGGCTTCCTTATGCATCTTCCCAGTCTCTGCCTGGCTGCAAGCTTTCACACCAAGCATCACTTTTGTCCAGACCTTTTCAAAGAAGCCACAGGATATGATTTTGTAACGTCGAAGGAAATTTGTCATCTGTTTACCTAGAATGTTCTGCTCCATTCACATCTGATGGCTCTAACTCACTTTGCAGGGCCAACACCGTTAGGTAAATGGAGAGGGGGCTTCCCATTCATGCCATCTCCTCAGATTCTGTTTGCAAGCATCCACTCCCAGTGCCCATGTCCAGCATCTTGGGGGGGGGGGTAACTAACTGGTCTGGCTTTTCAGGCACACATCGTAGCACAGGGATTCATTATCTCTCCTCTGCAGTGCTAGGATGCATTGCAGAGTGCACGTGAATACTGAGTCTTCACTTCCTAACTAGCCGTGTTCTTCAGTTATAATTGCTTCTCTTGCCAGGGTAGCTGTGACAGAGCAATGATCATTCTCTGTTGAGATACTTCCTAGTTATACCATACCGTTTCCTCTTGAGAGCCGGCAGGTAGGTCATGAGTCTATAAACCTTAACTCGGATTACCCACTGCATAAGGAGTAGCATATATCTCACGGATATATAAGGTATGAATAGTTATGAATGAGCCTTTACTGTAACAGAACTGACAAAGAAAGTCATATAAATGCCAATAGCATAAAACCCAGCGTCTGACTATGTCATTCCCACTGTACCACAGCTCTGAAAACCCAGCAACCCTGATGAGGTGCTCAGAGCCAGCGGGTCATTACCAGAGACAGGCAGGCTTAAGGTGGCACCAAAGCCTTGAACTCTTAGCATCTTTGTTTGGCTTGGAGTAAATGAGCTCCTTAAGAGACCACACCACCATTCAGAGATTCATTGTTCTCAATGCACTACCAGTACTGATGGTTACCATTCGTATTTGCAACTAGGACACTGTGGTGGTTTGAATGATAATGGCCCCCACAGGGCCGTAGGGAAGTGGCACTATTAGGACAAGTGGCCTTAGAGTAGGTGTGGCCTTGTTAAAGGATGTCCGTCTCTGGGTTTTGAGGTTTTAAATGCTCACGTCAGGTAGTGTCTCTTGCTGTTGTCTGCTGACCCTAATGTAGAACTCTGAGCTACCTCTTTATAAGAGCTGCCTTGGTCATGGTGTCTCTTCACAGCAACAGAACATTGACTAAGACAATTAGTCACATTATTCCACATTTTGACATTCATTCTCACTTAGTCCTAGTAATGGCATATGAGGTCA